TGTAAAAAGGCTTAATACAAAGTGTCTGTGTTCTTTAAAAGTATACAAAGTTTCTATAAAAGGACTTAATACAACAAACTAAAGACTTATTACAATGCTAAAAGGACTTGATACAAAGTTAAAATAAAAAAAATTCAGTGAGAAAATGATTAATGCAGAGATGACTGAGATTTACCTACAGTTGCATTGTTATGGAGAGAGCTGGGGTGCCTACTCTGGGGAAGGGGTGGTTGCATTGGAATGAGGAGGTGCCTGGCTGTGGGGCAGGGGTGACTGCATTGGCATTGGGGACACTGAGGGACCTGCCTCTGGGGGAGAGGTGGGTGCATTAGGGTTACTTATAATTTTTTTTTAAAATAAAAGATACTTTATAACAAAAGGGAAAACTTAAAAAATAATAGTCTGGTTACATTTTAAAGACTAACAAACGTATAGCTCAGGCATGTCAAACTTGAAGCCCTCTCAGGGCCACACAAATGAAAACTGATAGCTTTCAGGGACACCAAAGAAAATGTACTTCTATCTGATAGTTGTAATTATTTATTACTATAGATTATGTTTTAGGTATATTTTATCATATTTTTTCAGGTCTTGTTTTAATATAATACAATAATTTGATGTGTAAAATTGTTATTTGCTCATAAAATAATTTTTAATTTCAGTATAAATATAAGGTACTTTTAATTTTTTTTATATGATGCATAACTTGTTTTGTTGAAATAAAAACAAGTATAGACCATGGTCAATCAAATAGAACAGGCTTCTGTGAAAATTTCAGATACTTTGTAACTTTGAGATTTTGCATAAACATAATTATTCGTGCAATTGCAAAAAATGGACATATTTATTTATATAAAATGAATATACATTTTGTGATTTTATTTGGAAATAAATAAATAAAAACCAAAACATTAACAAAATATTCCCTTCAACTCCCCCAAAGCCAGGCACTCCCATATCCCCATTCTAACCCAATTGCCTTCCACTCCCCCAGACCATTCCCTCCTCCCCACTCTAACCCAATGCCTCCTCCCTTCCTCAAACCCAGGCACTCCCAGTCCCCTCCCCTCATACGTAATTCCTGGGTCCCGGAGCCAGTGTCACTGCCACACATTTCTTCCTCAGGCGCTGGGGAGGCGTGAGCACAGCAGCCAGCTGTGAGCAGGCACTTGATGCCTGTGCAGAGCAGCCCAGCCAGCCGTGATCTGCACTCGGCCACGTGCTCTGAGCGGCCAGAGGGCTGCACTTTATTCTTTTATAAAAATGTAGTGGCAGGTGCAGCCCGCCAGAAGCCTGTTTGACATGCCTGATGTAGATGGTCTCATGAGCTTTTGTGGGCACAACCCACTTCCACCCACAAAAGCTCATGAGACCATTTACATAAGGGGTAGGCAATAATTTTTGCCTGGGGGCCACTTCTAAAATTTTTGAAGTAGCCCTAGGTCACCCAGGAAGGGGCGGGGATACCCAGACCATGATTGGTCTAGGGTGAGGGAGCCCCTTTTCCCCCGCTTCCCACTAGGCACCCATGCCCTGGAAGAAGCTTGGCACATTTCCCTACCCCCAGGCCAATCAGGGCTTGAGGGTGGGGAAGCCTTCTCCTACCCTGCGAGGAGCTCCACCTCAGCTGGTGCTGGATAATCAGAGCCTCAGTACTAAAGGAATTGGCATTACTGAAGTGATAGATCACCCCACGTTTTGTTGCAGATTTTCCATCTCCCAGTCATAGCAGAGATTTGAGATTAATGTGGCTTTCTCAGCTAAAAGAATTACACGTTTGGATGTTGTGATTGTGAACACCTGGAGAGGCAGTCTGCTCAAGGCAAAGTTGGCCTTGAATCTTGATATCTATGGCTTCAGTTGAATGGCTTGTGTGAAATTTGGAAGAGCAGCTCAGAGAGACCTCTCTCCTTTACTTAAGGATAGAATCTCAGGGCAGCCTGAAGGGAAAAGTTCTCATGGCAGACAGAAACACACGCTTGCAGGGTATCCTCAGCCTTAGGCTACTTATTGCTTCAAGTGCCTTCAAGAAAGTGAGGGTGAGTCTTGTGTTGTGTGTTAGTTTTACTTAAAAGTTTTTCGGAGTGTTATATTAACAGGTAAGTTAATCTCTTACATTCATAACTCTCATAGTTTTTCGCTATGTGATAATGTGAAAAACAATTAGGTTAACTAGGTAATTAAATGGGCAGTTAGGAAACATTACAGATTGCTTACAATAAATTTATTAGCTACCTTGTTAGTCTTTAAAGTGCTACATAACCTTTTACTTTTTGTTTTACCAAGATCAGACTAACACGACTACCTCTCTATTATAATAAATTTGATATGCTCAAAATCTTTTTTACTTTTTATTCAGTAAAGCAATGTGTTACTCATTTGCTATAACAGTGGTTTTAAATGCTTGAATTAAATATAGTGATGAAATTCATATTTAGGTTGTATAATATTTATTTCTCTCCTGTTTTATAAAACTTACATATTTAAGAATTTTTATGTAAAAGATATGAAACTAATGAGAACAGGATATGAACAAATTACAGAGAAAAAATTATTTAACAGAATGTAAACCACAAAACTTTATAATTTATATGTCTGTAGTTAGGAAAATAAGTAATTCATTAAGCAGTAAATATCCTAAGAGGTGGATTATTTACAGTGGTGTAGTAAGGAGGGCATGTGGGGGAGCGGGGGAAGTGGCCCCTGGGTGCCACACTAGTGAGGTGCCAATATAGTCCCCCTACACTCCCTGTCATCCCTCTGCTTACCTGCTCCTCCTCTGCCCACCACCACCAGCTGGAGCTACCTCCTCCTCGCCTCTCTGCCCCCAGCCCGACCCCCTCCACCTCTGCCAGAGGGTTAGTGTGTGCAGGACCCAGCCCCAAACTGGAGGGGTTGGGTAAGATGTGGTACAAGCTCCCCCCCAGTCCTCCCAGGGTCAGGCTCAGCCGTGCACTAGGTTTGGGGCCCCACCATTTAGCGGTGGGGGGGCACCAATCTTGCCTTCGCCCCCAGGCACATAACACCCTCGCAATGCCTCTGTCTAGATCATCCCTGATAGATGTCTATCCAGCCTGCTCTTAAATATCTCCAATGATGGAGATTCCACACACTCCCTAGGCAATTTATTCCAATGTTTAACCACCTGCCCATTAGGAAAATTTTCCTAATGTCCAACCTAAACCTGCCTTGCTGCAGTTTAAGCCCATTGATTCTTGCCCTATCATCAGAGGCCAAAGAGACAATTTCCCCCCTTCCTTCCTGTGACACCCTTTTTGATATCTGAAAACTGCTATTGTATCCCCTCTCAGTCTTCTCTTTTACAAACTAAACAAGCCCAATTCCTTCAGCCTTGCCTCATAGCTCATGTTCTCTAGACCTTAGAGCTTGAATTCTTGCTGGTGAGCCACAAGAGCACTGCTGATGGAAAATTCTCTGGAGAGCTACTGAGTAGGTGGACTGTCGTGCTGCTCAATCCTCTTGCAACAGCCATTTTTGTTACTGTGTGAGCTCCTTATGTTTCCCCACCCTGTGAGCCCTTGAAGTTCAAGGGTGGAGGTTTGACTGCAGAGTTCAAAGAAGAAATGTATACCAGTATGAGCCAATGTAGTCCTTCAGGGAATGTGAACCACAATTTGGTGTGCAAAAAGGAGATATGGCAAGAGAGTTAAACAGAAGTGAGAATTGCACTGGAAAAAGTCAGTCAAGTGCTCCCATTTACCTTTCTACTAATAAACGGCAACAGAACATTAAACTTTAAAAGGCAACACAATGAAGTAGGTAATAGGACTTTGGATCTAATATATAATTAGCCTGGTGAATACAGTACTACAGGATATCATTGTGCTAAATAACTTAGTGTAGCTGCAGGTGCCAGTCTATTCTTTTATGTTGCTCAGATAAATAGTATTTTATATATCCTGAAGCAAATCTCCATTAACTCTCCCAATGCTTCCACCATTGTGTAGTGCTGCCCAAATCAGTTGAACATGAGAGTTTTACCCCTTCCCTAAGAGTATCTGGCACTGGCTGTTTTGAGGGGCAAGATATCAAACTATCTGTCTAAAATCCACTAAAGATAGGATATTTAGTTCTAGAAAAAGACCAGGAAGCAAAGTGCATATTGCTGTTCAGTATTGCATAATGGGAAGCTAGGCAGAAAGGAAACAAATTAAATTTTCGGGAGGGATGAATTAGTATTTTCACTAAAATTCACAAGCTTTGGGAATTTTGACCAGCTCCATAGTTGGTCAAAAATAGGGAATGTTTTACGGAAAAATTGATTTTCTTCCAGTTTTTCATTGAAATAAGAAACATTGATCAGCTCTACTCATAACATTTTATAAATCCCTTACTTTTCTGTCAGCATTTTCCTTCTTTACTTTTAAGAATATGTAGCTGCTAGATTCCCTCTCCACTTCCTTTAATGTTCATAGTTATACATTTTCTTTACTGCCATCCTTCTGGCCTTCATTATATTTTTTTGTTTCTAATCAGTATGATTCTGGGATTCTTCACATTTCATTGACCAGGTTTGTAAATAGGGGGTTGCAAGGTAGTTACCTGGTGGTCATAAGCTATAGTTACATGGGGGTCGTAAGCTATTAGCAATGTGGGGCTGACAGTGCTGACCCCTCATTAAATAAAAGTACACACACACATTTTTAATGTATAAGATTTGCTATTTGAATACAAAAAGTTTGAAAATCACTTCTAATCCAAAGCCTGTAGAAGCCAAGAAAAGCATTTCCATTTACTCCAATGGATTTTGGCTATGGCCATTAAGAAGCTAACAAATGAGTAATGGCTTTACTCTGTTGGATTCATGAAGGCAGAACAGCCTCCTGTAACACATTGGTTTATGGAAATTGTACCATCTTCCCATGGTATTTTAATCCAGGCTCTCAGTCTTCTCCCACCTAATATTCAAGCACCTCACAGGATTTTAAATGCAAAAAACAATAACAAAGTTAACTTTTTTAGAAAAACAAAACACTTACTATTGTGGAAACAAGCAGCAACTTCTTTTGTTCAGGTTCAAATTATGACATTGTCTAGGAGGTTTGCAATATATAAAGCATGCCCATTTCCGTGCTGGCTTTGAAGAATGTCAGTTGTACAGGGTTAGGTTAGCTGCACTGCACACACCTTGTGTCTCTCAAGGCTTATGAGCAATGCCCTCTGGGACTTGCAGTACCTCTACTGCTTAGCAGCACCTGTTTAAACAGATTATGTGGAAAGCAGAAACTACCTTACCCATAATTGCTTTCAGTTTATTTCTGATTATACCTGAAACCAGGAGAGCAGGTCTGATTGCTGGAGTTTCGCCTTAGGGAGGGAGCGAAAAAAACAAGTGGGAAAAGGAAAGTAACGTATGCTAAATTTGTGCATTTGGAAGACATTCTGTATATTTTTAACTCTTCTGTGTCATGCTGAAGATACATTGATCTCTCTGGAATGGTAGAGAAGAGAAGTGCTAGGATAAAGCTCTAGTTTGAATTTTAAAACAATTATCTTCAAAATAAATAATCCAACATCCAGAATAGCACAAACCTGCATAACCACGTCTGCCTCTCTCTGTGCGAGACACACACTCTCAGCTACAGAATGAGCTAGGGGTGGGTCCAAAACCTTCAATCATCAACTGCGGTGGAAATGCAGAAATATGTTCTAGGAAAGAGAACAGAGCCTTGCTTACCTCATGTGCTTGATCAAACAGACATATAAAGATTCCAAGTGTAAAAATTCATACAGTTTTTGTAATCATCACAACAAATTAATATATTAAGACTTTATCGGAAGTGATGATGGGTGAATATTTTCAGCTGAAACTTTTTATGGAAAAAGATGAAGATTTGGAAGCACTGCAGCATTTAACAGGTCCATGCAATTTATCACATTATTTGTTGCAAAACAAGCCTCACTAAAATTCTGAAGGCATTAGCATGCAACGGTTTGATGTTTTGATTTGAAAAGCCTTTTCATTTCAAAATCTCCTTAAGGCTTAAAGCTAAAAAAAAAAAAAATGTAAGAAAAAACATTTTGTTTAATCCGAGACAATTGTTTGCTTGGCCAAAAAAAAAATCTAAAGAAAATTCTTTATTGGGTTTTCCCAAAATTTAATTTCTTTTTTTAATAGCAAACTGAAAAATCAGTTATTCAGGCACTCTGGAGAGACAGAGTTCAGAAGAAAAAGTTGTGCCTCTGAAAATAAGAGCAGTCACACTCTTGAGTGGTTTTCTTTCATTTGTCCTCACTTCACATCCTGCTTTCACACGTGGCTCTAAGTAACTCTGAGCTAGCAATAGTAGCCACACTCCAGGACATCATGTTTATTGGGGGTATAAACCAGGTTGAGGGTAGCCATTGGGAAACACCCATGGTGGGGAGAAATGTCTATCAGCAGAATACTTAGTGTGCTTTGGCAGACCAGCAGAGGAGACCTATTGGTCCAACAGAAGGAAAAGCACTGGAGCAATGCTATGTGAAACCACAAGACTTGATGAGGCTCAAAAAAGTCAATGGCTGTCCACTGTCCAATCATTGAAACCATTGTAGCATTGGTCTTGGACTTCACCAAGAGAATGAGACTGCCTTTGTATGCAACAGAATTCTAACTTACAACCTCCTGCAGCATGGGCATTCACATATCAACCCCTGATGCCGCAATGTCACTGTGGGATACAGCCAAAAGCCATATGGCCAGAAAATGCACCCGCCACAGTTCAGTGCACTCAGGCCTAAATCCTGCACTTGGCCAGAGCCCAAGTAAATAGTCTTTGAGCAGGGGTTCTTGTCATGAGTCCAAGAGCAAGTAAGTCTCCCATCCCAATTTACATTTCTTACAGAAGTACCTAATGAGATCAGAGCCCTGTTGTACTAGGCACAGCAGTCCCTGCCTCCAAGTTCTAAAATGTAAATACACAAGACACAAAGGGGATGAGAGGAGGGCAGTAAATACTGTTATACAGATGAGGACCAGAGACACAAAGGGATAGTGTCTCAGTAGCATCACACAGGAAGTATTGACATACCCAGAACTTGAATCCAGCTCTTCTGTGACCCAGTCATAGAATCATAGAATAATAGGACTGGAAGGGACCTCGAGAGGTCATCGAGTCCAGCCCCCCGCCCTCAAGGCAGGACCAAGCTCCATCTACACCATCCCTGACAGATGTCTATCTAACCTGTTCTTAAATATCTCCAGAGAGGGAGATTCCACCACCTCCCTTGGCAATTTATTCCAATATTTGACCACCCTGACAGTTAGGAATTTTTTCCTAATGTCCAATCTAAACCTCCCCTGCTGCACTTTAAGCCCATTACTCCATGTCCTGTCCTCAGAAACCAAGAGGAACAAATTTTCACCTTCCTCCTTGTGACACCCTTTTAGATATTTGAAAACCACTATCATGTCCCCCCTTAATCTTCTTTTTTCCAAACTAAACAAGCCCAGTTCATGAAGCCTGGCTTCATAGGCTTCTCTAGACCTTTAATCATTCTTGTCACTCTTCTCTGTACCCTTTCCAATTTCTCCACATCTTTCTTGAAATGTGGCGCCCAGAACTGGACACAGTACTCCAGCTGAGGCCTAACTAGTGCAGAATAGAGCGGCAGAATGACTTCACGAGTTTTGCTTACAACACACCTGTTGATACAACCTAAAATCATATTTGCTTTTTTTGCAACAGCATCACACTGTTGACTCATATTCAACTTGTGGTCCACTATGACCCCTAGATCCCTTTCCGCCATGCTCCTTCCTAGACAGTCGCTTCCCATCTTGTATGTATGGAACTGATTGTTCCTTCCTAAGTGGAGCACTCTGCATTTCTCCTTATTAAACCTCATCCTGTTTACCTCTGACCATTTCTCTAACTTGCTAAGGTCATTTTGAATTATGTCCCTATCCTCCAAAGAAGTTGCAACCCCACCCAGTTTGGTATCATCCGCAAACTTAATAAGCGTACTCTCTATCCCAATATCTACATCATTGATGAAGATATTGAACAGTACGGGTCCCAAAACAGACCCTTGAGGAACTCCACTTGTTATCCCTTTCCAGCAGGATTTAGAACCGTTAACAACAACTCTCTGACTACGGTTATCCAGACAGTTATGCACCCACCTTATCGTCCATTGCCTTGACCACAAAACCATCCATCTTCTAATTATCCTGCAATAGCTGTTGAGGAGAAGGATTTAGCTGGTGAAATTCATATAGTTCCACTGACCATGATCAATCCCTCACCCATAGTTGTGCAATAGCTGCACATTTTGCATTAGCATCACGCCCTTCCCTATTCAGCAGAACTGCACCAACTGAACTGCATTCAATGGTCTGAAGATTTGGTCCTCTGGCAAGGTAACACCCTCATTTAGGGTTTATTTGCATGTATTTTAAAAGTGTCTCTTTCCAGCAAGGAAAAGCCCTAGAAGGACATGATATTCATCGTAGTAATAGAGAGGTAGCTGTGTTAGTCTGATCTTGCTAAAACAAAAGGAAAAACTAGAGTCTGAAAAAGGCCAGAGGGGAAACTAAAAGTCGAGTGTCAGGAGATTACCAAAACAAAAGGAAAAACTATGTAGCACTTTAAAGACTAACAAGATGGCTTAATAGGTGATGAGCTTTCGTGGGCCAGACCCACTTCCTCAGCTCATATTCTGAAGAGAATTGTCATGACCATATATACCAAAGGAGTACAATGAAAAAAATGAACACATTATTAAACTGACAAATCAGATTTAGTACAGAAGGTGGGGTAAGGGAGAGGGAAGGAGGGAGGGAATAGCTATTTATGAGTCAATGAATGGCTAATCAGGGGTGATAAGTGGGGAATCTATCTTTGTAATGGGTAAGGTAATTAGCATTTTTGTTAAGGCCAATTTGTAAAGTGTCAAATTTAAGCATGAATGTAAGTTCTGAAGTTTCCCTCTGTAATCTGGTGTTAAAATCTCTTCGAAGTAAGATGCATGTAGTAAGGTCATTAAGACTATGTCCAGGTAGGCTGAAATGAAAAGCAACTGGTTTTTCCTTGTGAAGATGTCTGTTGTCTGATTTGTGGGCATTAATTCTTTGGTGAAGTGTCTGAGAAATCTGTCCAATATACATAGCAGAAGGACACTGTTGTCACATGATGGCATAAATTATATTTCTGGATGAACAGGAATATGTGTTCTTGATCATATAACTGACATGGTTAGGTCCAGTGATGGTGTCACCAGAGTAAATATGTGGACAAAGTTGGCAACGGGGTTTGTTGCAAGGGAAATTCCAGGGTTGGTATTAATGTGGTATGTCCTGTGGTTGTTGGTAAGAATCTTCCTGAGGTAAGGTGGTTGTCTATAGGGGTGTGTCTAGACTACATGGCTCCGTCGACGGAGCTATGTAGTCTAGACACACCCTAGGAGACTATGGGTCTGTCCCCCAGAGCCTCTCGCAGCGTAGTATCCTGTTCCAGTATAGGTTGGAGGTTATTGATAATGCTTTGGAGGGGTTTAAGTTGGGGGCTATAGGTGATGACAAGTGGTGCTCTATTGTTGGTTTTCTTGGGCTTATCTTGAAGTAGATGGTTTCTGGGTATTTGGCTCTTTTCAATTTGTTTTTTTATTTCCCTCAGTGGGTAAAATGAGGTGTACAGGATCTGTCGCCAAAGGTTTTAGTGAGCGATAGAACCGTGGCTAGACTGCCACTTTTCGTCGCCAAAGCTCCATGATGACAACAAGTGGCGGTCATTTTTATGCTAATGAAGCATGGCAGATTTAAATCCCCGCTTCATTAGCAATTTCGGTATGTCTAATTTACATCCCTCTGGCGACAGAGGGACGTAGGCTAGACATACCCATAGGGTTGGAAGAGACCCATAGGGTTAGAAGGTCATCAATTCCAAAACAGGACCAATCCCAACTAAATCATCCCAGCCAGGGATTTGTCAAGCTGGAATGTAAAAACTTCTAGGGATGGAGATCCCACCTCCTCCCTAGGTAACCCATTCCAGGGCTTCACCACACTCCAGGCTATGTCTATACTGCAGTGCAAGAACCCTTATTCCTCATTTTAAGAGTTCTTGCACAAAAGGGGTTTTTTTCCATGAAATGGCCCCGTCTACACAGGGGGGTTTTGCGCAAAAACCTCTTCCACACAAAGG